CTTCTCTAAGTTTTGCTTCAATCCGGTTCACCCTATTCAAATAAAGTTATTTCTGTTTGAAATTCTGGAAGTTAATGTGAAAAATACTATCGATCTTCTCCTAATGGTGCTAAGAACATTGACACATCCACTTGTAATTTATATGCTATGTTTGGGGCTTAATTTCGCTTGCAACTAAGTTTTTTGACGACGAGACGCCAGACCATAGTTCTTCGGCGGCGCTGAGATAGCAACCGAAAAAAACTTCCATCTTTTGTGAGTGCATTAGAGACTGACATGAACCAATTTGGAAGTTGTCAGATCCATCCAAGATGGTTTGCGTCTTTAATTACTACCTCCAGGTATAAGCGGCAAGTCTCTGGGACTTTGGGACCTCCTTACGTCCTATGCATTTTGTAAACAATTTCTGATCACATGCCGAACTAGAATTATCACCTTTCAATGATCAAATCACACTCTTATCAGTTCCAAGCACCACCACAGTTTAAAGGATTGCGCAGTGCTTCAGAGAAGTTGGTACGGTCATTCACCTCTGCTTTCAGATGGACACCTACTTCCCAATTCTGACCGCTCTACAGTTTGTATTTTACATGGGATGGATGAAAGTCATAGAAGCTGTACTTAATCCTTTTGGAGAAGATGATGACGACTTCGAAACTAATGCACTCATTGACAGAAATATAACGGTAACTTCTACACCTTGATCCAGAAAGGAATACTATGATTCCTTTAAACAGATATCATGGTTTTCAGATATCATGGCTATGTATGTCTTTAGTAGGCGTGGTAACTTCCTAGCCTTCTAAAGACATACATAGGTTCGACAATTCAGAGACACGGCAGAATTGTTCGTAGTTTTATTTCAAATGCTTTGCAAAAAAATAATGGTAGATGGAATTATAATAGTTGATAAGAGATAACGGACAATCTTCTTAGTTTATGATGATTTCAAACAGTTCTTAATGATAGCGATGATGCCATATGATTCTTCAAATTCATCCTTTTTTTCTGCTTCGTTTCCATGCATATTTCTCT